TAAAGTCCTTATTTGTACTAGGCTTTCATTTCAGAGTGCAATGAGACATTAAACTGCATAATTTTCAACAAAAATGGGAAAAATTGGGGTGCTCTAAAACTTTTGACCAGGAGTGTAAAAGCCTGTACACACGTTCCATAACCAGTGTACTAAAATAAAACTCTTTGCGATATTATACTTTTACTGGAGCATCCATTTCTGATATAACACCAATGAAGATGAAGAAAACAATGAATATAGCTGATATTATTAAGATATAAGGACTAACTATCAGTGCTTTTTAGCTAAAATGTGTGAGGTTTGCTCAATGTTACTCATTCAGTGAAAAGATGTATCAATAAAACATCTATATGCATGCAAAGTAAGGTATTAGAGTATGGTATAAATAGAAAATCTTGATGCGAATACTCCGCACAGTGAATATTAGCTGTAGTCATGGTTCTGTCGGGCAAGCTGCTACCTCACAGAAAGAGAAGTGGTTTACAGAATATCTACAGCAATCAGGAAGCACAATAACAACCTCAAACACAAAAGTGCACTCACAGTCACACCAGTAAATGGCAATACATCTAGAAAACAATGAGAAGCATTTCCCCATCAAGAAGACAAGCTCAACAACAAAACTTAAAGTCACAGTTTTCTTTTAAATTTCTGACACACTAAGGTGCCTTTATGGTGCGCTTTGATTCAGAACAGAGCATGTTATAAACAAAAAAGGCAACATGACTGGTGTGAGATCCAACAGAAGTCCTCCATGAAAAAAGTACCGTGTGATCCTTTTATCTCATTTCTAACAAGATCTTTTGATGGGACAGGGTTATTTTTTTTCCACCACAATACGACACTTGACCATTTTTCACTTAACAAAAATGTATTTTTGAAGTCATTTGAGTGAGATACTGAAGTATCTCGATGAGCATAAAATGTGTTTTCTTGTCCCAGCTCTGCTGTGTAGTAGTTCGAGTCTGACTGAATTCCATTGTTTTCCATTTCCTTTTCATTTCAACAGCACACAGAGGGCCTACAACATGTCCCAGAAGTTAGAAAATCCACAATTTTTGTTGGGAATTTTTCTTTTCATTTACAGACTGAATATCCCCGTTGTAGGTATGTTCTCAGTAGTTGTGTGCACTTCTCTCCGGCTGCTGTCTATAGTGTGGAGATGACTGTTGTGCATATAAGAGATGCTTAGGCCTCAGAACTCAGAGAGGTCCGTGTTGGACTTGGAGGGAGGCGAGCCGCTGCACTATGCTCTGTGCGGAAACTGTAATCATACTTACATAGGGAGAGTTGCATATTATTATTAATTAGTATGGTCTAACAGAAAATTTCTTATTGTTCACTAAAATCATAATTTCATTTACCTATGTGCAAAATACAGTGTTGATTAACAATCATATACAGTAATTTATTGATCCTCTAGTGGACAGTCTGTACTTAAGCAAATACTACTTCATTATTCATCTCTGGAGACCATAAATTATACTATCAGAAATGTAACAAAGTCTTATGTCTACTCACCTCCTTTTCAATCTCAGCCAGTGATTTAATTGTAATACCCATCAGATCCACCTGCTGCAGCTGTACATGGAGAACAGGAATGCTGAGATGTGTGAACAAGCTCAACTTCAAGCATGTTGCAATTGTGTGGGAGTAGTGTTGGGAGACTTGTATTACTACAACGTGACTTATTTGAAGGGTTAAGTTGAATAAAAATTTGCCATTTTTCTAGGTGCAGTCTGAACATTGTGATAGAGGCTCAACAAATTTATCAGCTCATCACCCAATAAAAGGTTTATGCCACAGTCGCCTTCAATTAACAGAATTGGTCATTTAGAGCAATACTGGTAACACTGCTATTAGCAAAATCCGTTTTTATGTTTCTGTAATAATTGATCTACCAGTATGCCGAAGGTCTTTAAAATATTTTGAATGCTAAAATATATATTTATTGCTACTATCCAGTCATTTTCAAATTTACCATTTCATAAATAAGCATTAAATATATTAAAGCATGTTAAAGCATCTGTCATTATGGAAAATGTTACTTAATACTAATCTCTTCCCAACAAGATGCAAGAGTTAATTTGTGCTAGCTAAGCAATAGTGGTATTGACAGTGTACCCTTTAGTGCTTCACTGAGATTTGGCTGAGTGAACTTTGAAGAGGCTCACTCATCACTCTGGATGGCTTGCAACGGCCAC